GTAGAAGCAAACAATAAACATTTTCAATTATTTTATTTTATTTTTGAGTTGGTGTCTCACTCTGTCACCCAGACTGGAGTGCAGTGGCCGCTCCCGGCCAACGCAGCCTCGACCTGCTGGGCTCCGGCGATCCTTCCGCCTCAGTCTTCCGAGTAACTGGAACTATAAGCGCACGCTACCATGCCCGGCTCATTTTTTGATTTATTGTAGAGATGAGGTCTTGCCAAGTTGCCCAGGTGGGTCTCGAACCTGCAGGCTCAGGCAATCCTCTCACCTCAGCCTCCCAAAGTGCTGGGATTACAGGCTGAGCCACTGAGCCCGGCTATTTTGTTTTCTAGCTATACTCTGTTGTGGTTTTAATTATTTCTCATGATCTGTGCCCATTTTTTGACAAGAAAATAAGAGTGAGAGATAAGCAAATACATATACGTATGCATACATATGTAAATTTGTTCCCTTTAAAAGATATTGTAAACTTGAAATTGATGAGAGTGGTAGCTGTTTTGTTTTGTTTTGTTTTGAGTCATGTTCTCACTGTCGCCTAGGTTGGAGTGCAGTGTCACGATCACAAGCTCACAGCAGCCTCAACCTCCTGGGCTCAGGCGAACTTTCCCCCTCGACCTCCCAAATAGCTGGGACTCACAGGCATGCTAATTTTCTGCTTTTCTGTAGAGATGAGGTCTTGCTACATTGCCCAGGCTGGTCTCGAACTCCTGGGCTCAAGCAGTCCTCCCACCTTGGCCTCCCGAAGTGCTGGACTTACAGGCATGAACCGCCACGCCTAGCCAGGCAACTGTTTGGTTAAATTAAAACTAGAAACCTTTACAAATGGGATGAATGCCATCATGGCTTATTCAAGTTGTTCCAGGATAATGATTTTGCATTACTTGGAGATCCTTTCATTTTTAATCCCTCCAAATGTGCCATCTTTTACACAATTATGGTTGCATAGCATAGGATGGGGGCCCACATTTTAGACTTGTACTGTCCAACACAGCAGCCAGGGGGTACCTGTGGCCATTGAATACTTGAGATGTACTGTGGGGTAACCCCTTTGGGTCCCCTCCCGCTGTGGGAGCTTTTCTGTCCTCTCAATAAATCCTGCTTTCTCAAAGAGAGAGAGAGAGAGAGAGAGAGAGAGAGAGTGTGAGTGGTGCTGTAAGTGGATTTTGAAAACTTAGACTACAAAATGTCAGCTATCTCACTAGTAATTTTAAAATACTGATTATGTATCGAAATGGCAATAGTTTGGATACACTGGGTTAGATCAAATAAGCGATTAAATTAATTCAACTGTTTCTTTTTATTTGTTTTAATGTGGCTCCTAAAAATAAAAAATTATATGTGTGGCTTATATTTCTATCATTATAGACATTTCTTTTTTAGACTATTTTTTAAAATCAGAGATCAATCAGCTAATTTTGTTGTTTGAGTAGCTCTCTTATATTAGGTTGTTAATTTAATAGTTTGTGGATCAAAAATTATCATAGGTGCATCTAGTGACTAAATGCAAATCCATTTTCAATCAACTTTTTTTTTTACTGAAAAATTAATACGAATTTATGTTTAAAAAGTTAAAAGTAATAAAAAGGATATGCATGGAAAAGTGACTCTTCTCTCCTATCCCCAGAATTCTGCTTGCTGGTGCCTCCCACCATTTTAGTTTCTTTCATTTATTTATTTAATTTATTTGGGTTATTTCTATGCTTTCTTTGGAAAAATAACTCAATATTCTAGTTTGTTTGAATATAAGTAGGAGAGTATTACAGACAAAAATTTTTCTTGAAAGTGCTAGATAGTATATATTTTGGACTTTGTGTACCATACCATCTCTGGAACAAGTATTCAATTCTGCCACTGCAATGAAAAAGTAACCATGGACAAAACATCAATGAATGGAGTGGCTATGTTCCAACAGAACTTTTCTCACACGCAGGTATAAGGCTGGATTTGGCTTATGACTTGGGGTTTGCTAACCCCTGTATAGACCAGTGCTAGTCAACAGAAATACAATTATAGCCATGTGCCACAAAAGGACGTTTGGGTCAACTACTTGTATATGGTGAAGCGGTTACTATGGTCAAGCAAATTAACACATCATCATCTCACCGTCACCCTTCCTTTGGTGGTCAGAACACCTGAAACCCACTCTCTTAGCAATTATCCCAAACACAACATAATATTATAACTAGAGACTCCTGCTGTGCATTAGTTATTTAATACTAGTTCATCCTACATGTCTGCAACTTTGTATGCTTTAACCACCATCTCCCCATTTCCTCTTTCCTCATAATGATCTTTTTAAAATGGAGGCTAACCATGCCATACTCTTGCCTAAAACCCTGTGACTTCTCATTGCCCACAGAATTAAGCACAAGGGGCCATGTTTCTTTTTTCTGAGTTGGAGTCTCACTCTCTCGCCCAGACTGGAGTGCAGTGGCCGCTCCCAGCCACCACAGCCTCGACCTGCTGGGCTCCAGCGATCCTTCTGCCTCAGCCTTCCAAGTAGCTGGAATTACAGGCACGCGCTACCACGGCCGGCTGATTTTTTGATTTATTGTAGAGATAAGGTCTTGCTGCCCAGGCGGGTCTCGAACCCGTGGGCTCACGCAATCCACTCACCTCAGCCTCCCAAAGGCGCATGATTACAGGCTGAACCACCGAGCCTGGCTTGGGCCATGCTTTCTTAAGCTTTGGCTCCCTTCCCTGCCTTGGGGAGGTGAATCTTCTTTTTCTCTCTCTCTTTACTTTCTAAATAAACTATGTTCTCTAATCTTCAAAAAAAAAAAAAAAGAATTAAGTACAACGTTTGCAAAGAACTTGAAACTTGACTGTAAGGCCCACCTTCACCTGCAGGCTTATCTCATGTCCCTCTCCTTCAGCCACCTGGTCCTTTCTCAAATACTTGAACACACCACAGTCTCCCTCTCATCCCATCTTTTTTCTTTTAACCTAGTTATTTCTGGCTCATTACTTCAGGTGTCAACTTAAAACCACTCCTCTGTTTTAGTTAAATCAATCTGTTATATATTCATGTATTCCTATGTGACATTTGTACTCTGAAGTGAAAATTCAAGTGAATGAAAATTGTGATTTTCTTGGAGGCTTATGCTGAGTGCAAGTGAGGCATTGATTGTTCCTATTTGAAAGTAACAACCTTCTCAGATTTCCATTCCTTGAACATGTACCGGGTACCCTATCTTAGCAAAGCATTGTTGTACACTTTGCACATAACCAGGAGACCAAGACAGCATCCTTTTTCTCAGGAAGCCCACAATACTGTAGTGGAGACAGACTCACACACAGTGACTGTCATGCCAATCAGAACATGACAACTGCTTTGATGAAAATGTAACTTACAGGGGTAGAGAAGATGAGGTAATTTGCTTAAAATATGTGATTCTCCACAAACCTGAGTGCCATCATTGGCCCCAGGGTCTACAGGTTAAAATTACAGTCTAAAATGCTTTTGGAAATTGAATTGTTTATGCAGTATTTGAACGTGCTGTAGTCATGGTACTTCTACTGCACTCACTTTCCAGAATCCATCCATGAAGCTGCCTGGCCCAAATATCACATGGAACATTGACCCCACAGAAGCCAATTTGCTATGCTTGGTTTCTGAGAGTTACGGGGGGAATGACTCATATTCAGACTGGAATATACTATTTATTTATTTATGAAATGGAGTCTTTCTATGTTGCCCAGGCTAGTCTCGAACTCATGGGCTCAGGTACTCATGCTAGGTTACAGGCATAAGCTACCGTGTCCACCCAGGCTGGAATATTATTGAAGACAACACCAAAAGACTTATATGAAGAAATACCTTCATTTCACTGCTGCTTTGGTTTTCTGGATCAGTTTTAACTGTCATATGCAGGTGCTCATTGTCAAATGAGAGGGGAGCTTCGATCTCTGGGCACTCCTGCCACCCCTGCGTAATCGTGTCCTGAGGTCACACAGGCTGCCAGGATCTGGGGAGCCACCTGTGTGGAGAAAGGTATTTACGGCCCTCAAGAGCTTCCAGGATGTCACGGGCTGTTAGGATGCCTGTGTCTTCATCTTCCAAGCCTCAGTCACCACCGCCTCATCTCAATGGAGTCACACTCGTGACACACACGCTCAAACTCACCTAAGGGGAGGTGACAAGTGTTCATTTCCCTGCTGTAATCTTATTATGTTTGACCTACACAGAAGTCAATCTGAAATAAAAAAACATTGTGCTTTTAAATGCGTAGCTGCTAAGAAACTTCAGGCTCAATTACTTAATGAAAGTTGAAGTTTTCTCTTCCTCCAAAAGTGTCGCACGTGTTCCTGACTGTTGCATAAATTGCATTTTTCTGGATGATGAATTTTTAGTGAGTACAAGGTGGAGGCTGAGATGCAGTTTGATTTTTAAATTTTATCGTATCTAAAGCACAAAGCTGTCTAAGCAGGACAATATCATGACCTGAGGCACATTTCCGTTTGTTTGCTCCAGCGACTGTGAAGTAAAACAGCGATAGGGAAGAAGAGAAGGCGGGTTGGAAGATGGGTGCAGAAGCATGGTCACAAAAGTAGAGTGGCTTGGACCGACCTCGGGACGGAAGCGTGTGGGTCTGGGATGATATTTTGGAGGCGGACTATGCAAAACTAACTTATGGGTTGGATGTAGCGGCGAGGGAAAAAAGAAGTCAAGCATAACTTCTTGATTTGGGACTGAGCAAAGGAAGAGAGTGATGCTGCTGCTTACTGAGACCAAGGGGTATAGGGAGAAACAGGTCTGAGCAGAAGGGGAATGAGACATTCTGCTCTGACTGTGCACTGGTTAGAGGTCCCCAGGAGAGCTGAAGAGCCAGCAGGAGCCCCAGGAAACAGACAAGGCTGGAGATACAGATTGGGGACCAGCCATATAAACTGCTGCGGATTCATGTGTTTTGTGCTTTATTAACTGTTTAGGACATTAAAGGCTTTTTTTTAAAGGTAGAAATACATTCATGAAATTCTAATTTTTTTTTCAGAAATCTTCCCAAGAGATTTGAACTTAAAACACAGATTCATAAAGCATTTCACAGGTATGTATGTATGACATTTACCAGTGATTTAATTAAATAAAAAGATTGTGTGCAGGTTACTAGGTTAGGTACTGGGATACGCAGATAAATAAATGTCTGTAAGAGACTCACAGTCCAGTTGGAGAGATGGACAAATGCTACTGACTAGTATTAACTGTAATGTAAACTAGAACTTGATAAGTTAATAGAAGTATAAGCAATGTTTTAGGGATGCACAGGAAGTGAATAATTTGGCCAAGAGCTACAAGGAAAGACTTGGAGTGAACACAGTATTGAGGTTGACGAATACAGCTTTCCCAGAACGAGAGAGGCATTCTGGCCAGAAGCAATGCATTGAACAAGCATGAAGGCCCATGGTGTGGTTTGGGTAAGGACAGGTGTGTGTGGACAGGCTTAGGTCGGGATGCACATGACTACTGGACAAATATATGCTAGAAAGGTAGATTGGAGTTATGCTGTAGACAATTTTGAATGGCATGCTGACGAATCTAGACTGTGCTGCCCAGCCAGTGGGGGCCATGTAAGTGTTTTGAATGGGAAAGAGGCAGATTTTTAAAACACGCCAGATTTGTATATGCTACATTTTCGATGCAGATGAAATATTCTCTTGTGACACGGTTTTGTTCTTCATATCAACTTTGTGAGTCATTTAGACATTGTCTCATGCCCCAAGTTCTAGCAAATCATGACATTATTTTGAACTGCACACATTTATATTTACTATTGTTATTACCTCTCAGTTCCTAACCATCCCAGCTACCTTTTTTTATTTCACATCCCAGGCCTATAATGTGGGAAAGATGTGGTTCTCCCACGTAATCAAATCCAAGAGCCATGTTTGTTTATTAACTTCCAAAGGGTGGTCCTGAGGACCGAGCGGAAGCGTAAAGCTGTGTAAGGATGTTGAGCACCTCTAGGCAGCTGTTAGCAGCATGATTGAGGACTCTCTACTTCCCATCTCTTCTACAACAAGTAGACTCCAGAGGAAGGATAAAAATTTTAATGGGGCCGATCTGGATCTATGAGGAGAGACGAGAAAAATCTCAGGCCCTGCCTTCTTTACAATAGCCTCAGACACTAATAAGATACAAATTACTATAGCTAGAAAGTGGACTGAATATCTTTGCATATAAACATTAATTTCTATTTAAAAACCGGGGAACAGAAAGTAGGAACTGAAGATATTTATTTTTTATTCTTCATAGCCACTTGATCTGCTCGCTATGGATTTTTTTTTCTGTCTAGAGTTTTTCTCTTCTAAATATTCTAGAGCGTTCTACTGAAAGTGAAGATTCCATTATGTGAGATGTTGGGAATGTGGAATGAATTTGGATTATTTTTCATAGACCACAACTCACTACCTCCCACAGAGCCTGGGTGAGGGGAAGAACTCTCAGACAAGTTCTTTTAAGGTCATGGAAGGATGTAAACTTCAGTTACATTATCTCCATCCATAAAGTGCTAGCAAAATGTGTTTGGAAAACACGCTTAAGTTTATAATAGGCATTCCTTTCCTGTCCACTAGGGCCAGTCACATTTTCAGCCGAATGTAGCAAACATTTTCATCGACTCTATTACAATACCAGGGATTGCTCTACACCAGCTTGTAAGTAACTTGAGCAGTTTTTAAAAAATCTTTATTTAACAATAAGTGTATATAATTTTGAGTTTCAATTGTCTGTGGGTGGGAAGTTATAGACTAAACATCTTATGAGATACTATTTATAACACTGACAGTGCCTAAAGTTTGTGCGTGCTGTTGAAACTTTAAGGAATGAAACCACATTCTAATTGGGATTCTATCCAAATCTGAAAATAGCCAGATTTCCTGAAAGATCACAATGTTTGTCAGGGTTTCAACCTAATGTCATTATTCAAATTCCTTGGCATAAATAGGGTGCTCTTTCACATAAATGAAAAAAATAAGATGACTATGAAGTGTAAGTTAAAATTCTCTCAGAAGTTATTTTAAAAGTAAATTTTCTTATATCATGTCATTTATACAATGGGTGCAGGATATTTCTGGATGATAGCATATGTTTTAAAGTTTGCTCTCATGAATTCTTTGGAATACTTAAGTTACTGAAGTTAATAATTCCAAACATAATATTTAAGTGTCGTCATTTAAAGTGCCCAAATTATGATTATGTGTGGGAATTCAGTTGGCTGTTTTTAAATTCCTTTCTAAGCTGAACTTTCCTTTTAAAGAACATGAATTCTAAGCATTTTATTTATCTTTAACTAGTTGCTCATCTTGAGGAATATTTCATTATACTCAAAATGTGGAGTGAGTTTTGTTATAATCTTTTCAAAAACAACTCCTAGTAGTTAATGACTAGGGAAAATTCATCACATTGGATTCAAGGCAAAATGACTAACTGGTAACACAGCATGGTGGAGAAAGTGCAAACTTTGGGATCAAATTGTTTATTAGTTATGAGATAATTAACATGTAAGCCTCTTTTCTCATCTTTAAAGTTAAAATAATGATGGCATCTTTACAACTGCGTTATTAAATGAGAAAATTCATGGCAAGCGCTTGCTATATTAGATAGTTATTAAATTGAAGCTATTGTTATTTAAATTAGTGACACTTTTTATAGTAATGGTATGCATAATTTACCTTTAAATATTTTTCATAGATTACAAAAGATGTGCTAGATTGCTAACAAGATTAGCAGTGAGCCCACTTTGCTCACAGACCTAAAAAAACCACCCTGTAAGTATGTGTTTATTTATTTATCCTGTTTAATAGTCCAACTTTAAAAAATACTTATTCTTTTTAGTAGATGTATAATAATTCTCCATATTTATGGAGTGCAGTGTGATATTTCGATATTTGTATATGTCAAACATTTATCCCCTCTTTGTATTGTGAACATTTAAAATCCTCACCCTCAACTTTACAAATATATGCAGTATAGCTAACCATATTCATCCAACAGTGTTGCAGGACACCAAGCCCATTTCTCCTACCTAACTGTAATTTGTATCTGTTAACCAACCTCTCCCCATCCTTCCCTCCCCTCTCCCCTTCTACTAATGCCCATAGTTCTCTCTCTTCTTCCATGAGCTCATTTGTTTCAGCTTTCACATATGAGTGAGAACATGTGGAATTTATATTTCTGTGCTTGACTTATTTCACTTAATATACTACAGACTCATCCACGTTGCCTTGGTTGACAGAATTTCATCTTTTAAAAAATAGCTGAATAGTATTCCGTTATGTATAGATACCAGATTTTCTTTATCCTTTCATCTGTTGATAGACATGTGGGTTGATTGTATATCTTTGCTATTGTGAATAGCGCTATAATAAATAGGGGAGTGTAGAGGTCCCTTTGACATGCCGATTTTTTCCCCCTCTGGATAAACACTCAATGGTGGGATTTTTGATCATATGGTAGTTCTAGTTTTCGTTTTTTGAGGAACCTCCATACTGCTCTCCATGGTGGTTGTACTAGTTTGAATTCCCACCGACAGTGTGTAAGGGTTTCCTTTGCTCCACATCTTCGCCAGCATTTGTTATTTCTTGTCTTTTTGATGATAGCCATTCTAACTGGGGTGAGATGATATCTCATTGTGGTTCTTATTTGCATTTATGATGAATAGTGAGGTTGAGCATTTAAAAATATGTCTGCTGGCCATTTTTATGCCATGTTTTGAGAAATGCCTGTTCAGATTATTTGCCCACTTTTAAATTGGATTATTGTTATTTTTTGTGACTGAGTTGTTTGAGTCCCTTGTATATACTGGATATCAACCTCTTGTCAGGTGAATAGATTGAAAATATATTTTCTCTCATTCTACATGTTGTCTCTTCACTCTGTTAATATTCTAAATAAAAAAATTTAAACAATGTAAGAAGCCAGGAAGCTGATCTTAGCAATACCTAGAAAACTTAATATGTGGATGTCCATTAAGTGTTAAAACTTAGTAAAAATCCAGATTATTTTGTTGAATTATTTAAAAATGTTCTCAACAGTAATTAAATTGAAATAAGCAGTTGATGACTACTTTACCAGCCCAGAGTGATTTTCAAAAATCTTTCAACATTTAGTGTTCCTTTAGCATTGTGCAGAAACATTATGCAGATAGACATTAGGTGAACAAAACACTAGTTAAAGTTCCATCTTTTTTTAACTGTCCGGAAGGTATATTACAAATGAAACCAGGTCTTGAAACCAGTGCACACAGTGTAGGTAAGGAGCAGAGATAAGGTATTGGAAGAATATAAAACAAAGCAAAAAATCAACAATATAATGAACATGTAATCATTGTTTTCTCTAGCCTATTAGTTTACAAAAAGTCAGAATTCTTATTCTGGCTAAATTACCCTAGAAGCGCTCGGACTGTAAAGTATTTGTAAAATCCTAAATAAATTTAATATAAATTATAATATTTATTTGCAAAAGTAGAATCTATACAAAATGCCGAAAGGTATTTATTTCTTTGTAAATATTTTTCTAATTAGTAGTTTCCGGGGAGATACAAAGTCAAAGTTTCAGTACCATGGACAAGTCCCTTTCAGGAAATGGGTTCCTTAGGTTGTCAAGGTGAAAATGAAAGTCACGGGGTATCTGTAGACTAATTATCCATAAATCTCTCTTTTTTTTTTTTTTGAGTCGGAGTCTCACTCTGTCACCCAGGCTGGAGTGCAGTGGCATGCTCACAGCCACTGCAGCCTCAACCTGCTTGGCTCAGTGATCCTTCTGAGTCAGCCAAGTGCCTGGAACTGCAGGCACACACCACCACACCTGGCTTATTTTTGGATTTATTTTGGATTTATTGTAGAGACGAGGTATTACCAAGTTGTTCAGGATGGTCTCGAGCCCCTGAGCTCAGGCAATCCTCTTGCCTCGGCCTCCTAAAATGTTGGGATTACAGGCTTGAGCCACCATGACCAGCCATCCATGAACTGCCCAGTATAACTTTATATACACCAAACAACTTCACAATATTTTACTTAAACTGCCTCAGAAGTTTGATGTGAAATTACTGAGACAATCTTGATCGACTGTTGTTGTTATTCTTATTTCAATCTGTCTCATAGCTTTTGAATAATGTGAAACGTGAATAAATTAAGAACATTCCTTTGACTACTGAGATGACCTAAATTAAATCATATTTATCTTTTTCTTTTTTCTAATATATTCTCTATATATGAGTAAATTTAAATAAAGTTCAAAAAAACAAAATAATTTTAGAAAAGTTCCCCCCAAATAATGGTATTATACTTTAAAATAATGTACATAAACTTACATTCTCTTGGGACTAGAACTATAGAAAACAGAGTTGACTCTTTAAAGTTATCTATTTTAGAGATTTTGTGATTTCTTCTATAGAAGTTATTTGAGATAGTAATTTTTTTTTCAAAGAAGCAACCATGAGAGAAAATTTTATTGCAATTCTCAGAGGGGCGAAGGTATTTCTAATTACAACCCAACCCAGAGGCCATAAAAGATAAGATTAATATCCTTGACTACATAAAACATTTTTAACTCTGCCTGGCAAAGACTTCATATATAAAGTCAAATTGCCAGTGCCAAACAGGTAGTGGGGAATTCTTTCTATTTGTATTACAGAGGGCTGATTTCCTTAATATATAAAGAACTCCTGAGAAATCAGTAATGAAAAGACAAACAGCCAATAGAAAAATGGGCAAAGGCAAAGGACAACTTACAGAAAAATGAACAAAAGTGGCTCTTTTTTTTTTTTTTTTGAGTTGAAGTCTCACCCTGTCACCCCGACTGGAGTGCAGTGGCACCCTCCTGACCACCACAGCCTTGATCTGCTGAGTTTCAGCCATCCTTCCACCTCAACCTTCCAAGTAGCCAGAACTACAGGCACGCACTACTACGCCCGGCTGATTTTTGATTTATTGTAGAGATGAGGTCTCACCAAGTTGCTCAGGCAGGTCTTGAATCCACTTGCCTCAGCCTCCCAAAGTGCTGGGATTACAGACTGAGCCACTGAGCCAGGCCAAAAATGGCTCTGAAGTATGTGAAAACATGCCCAATATCACTCATAATAAGAAAAATGCAAAATAAAATCATAAGGGGATATCATTGGCCAAGATCTTACAATTTGAGTATGTTTTAAATTATTTATTTAAGAAGATATTACAATCACATTTTAGGGATATTTCATGAATTACTTAGATGATGTCAAGTTCATTTTTTTAGTATGTCTAGATATCAAAACTTTAATGAGAGAAATCATCATTTAAAGTCTCTCAAACAACTGATCAACCCTTCTCCTCCACAAACACATTAGTGTGCATTCTTAGGATTAGATTGCATAGAGTCTTTAAGCAAAATAATTTAAAATGTAGCTATTAAAACTATATATATTTTTAAGTATTCTAAAACCAGGTCATCTACGATATATTTCTTTTTTTCCCCCCTCACAGGTATCTCTTAAGAATGCAAATCTAATTTGAAGAAAAAAGTACCTCAAATTATACTAAATGCAAAAATATTTATAATTTTATGGATATGAGTAAAACAAGAATTTTCCCAGAAATAACCAACTAGCTGCATCCTGTCATAGAATGAAGATTTTCTTGCTTTTATTTTTGTATATACAGTAACATAATTTTTAAAATGGAGTTTAAGGCATATATTGCAAGTTTAATATTAAAAGTATGCTATTCTTCTATATTTTTGCTAGATATGTTATTTTCTTATATGGTTATGATTCTATATTGAATATTTAATTATATAAATTTTGTCTGAAAGTACTAGTAAGACAGGATTTTATGTATGTGATTTTGAGCAACATGCTTGTCAAATAATCATGTACAAAGTTAAATTTTATAATTCTTATTTAATACTATTTAATTACATTTATTTAGAATTTCTTGTCTACATCAATTTGAAATGTGAATTTTATTAAAACTTAAGTATGAAAAAAGTCTGTGTTTTTTTAATTAAGGAATTTGTGGTAGAGGTTATACTATTGAAATATGATTACTATGTGTATATATGTAAAAATATGTATCATTTGAATTGTCAACTAGTATCCTGAGACAATTTCTGTCTTCTAAAGTTAGAACACATGGTATTGCTGCCTTTAATATGATGAAGTCCAGTTGTTCCAGGATTGGAGAGATGTAAGTAAGGGAGTCGGAAGAATGTATGCAGTGTCTGAAGTCTCTGTTTAGAGTATAACAAAATACTCTGACACATTCAAATAGTTTCATTTAAAAACAAAAATGGCAAAATCAGAAACCTACAGCAAAACAAAGGAACTCCCCTCCCCGCTCTTTTAGAGTAGACAAAACATGAGTTGCGTAACAACTCATAGGCAGTAAATTCTCTGACTTTCTATCACTTTCCAACTGTCTGTGTTAGTGTCATGAGGACACATGCATCTCTGTACTTTGTAAAAGTTATCATTTCAATTTTGAGTACCTTTTTTCTTTCCCATAACTGAGTCTTGTGTGTAAACATACGTAGTTCTTTGTTCGTCAGAAAAACAAGCTCAAAAATGTCCCTTGGCTTTAGGAATATTATTACCCTACATTCTTAATTTTCTGTTTTACTTGTTTCAGTCTATTGGCAAAGATTTAGAAATAATCATGTTTTAAAAAATCTGAGAGGCAAAGAAAATTCTGCAATAGTGCTATGTAATAAAAAATGAAAAAACACATTTTAGTTATTTGTATTTAATATAGTAATTATAATATTTACTACACCTGGAAAA